CTTAAAATAACTTTCAATATAGCATGAATACTTTTTAAAAGTATACATCTACTGTATTTAAATACTTTTACAATGAATGTTTAAATAAAAAGGAATAATGCTAAACTCTTAAAAATATCTGTTGAATGACTGCAATGACATTTTAAAAGTCTAATATGTAAGAATATTCAATATTACATTTAAGTGTACAGAGCAAAATGTTAATTTTCTTTCAGACTCTTAGTAGAATCTAGTTGAAATATAGAACTGCTTTTTCCTTTCTATGAAATTCTGTGGCATTTGAGATAAATTGATGTGAACATTCAAGTTCTACATCTTTAAACTCTATTCTGTCATAAAAGTAACTTGAGATAATCTACCTGCTGCATTTCAAACTCTTCTTCCCAGTGCCATCCATGGTCTTATTTCTAAGAGCTGTCAGTTGGCGCTCTTGTCTTCCCAACACATTTCACATAGAAGAAAGCAGTTAAGAGATAACAAAGTATAAAAATTTAAATAATCAAGAAGTTATCATTATAAAAGCTTGACACAATAATACCTTTGAAAGTCATCAGAACATAAACCACAATACATAAAATTTCAATTTCTGTATATATAACAGAATCAACATTGTTAGGGTTTTAAACAAATATTTTGTTCTAATGAAAAGCAACATTCTTTGTTGTTTTTAAGCCAATTAAAATTTTTTTAATATTATTTATTTGTGTGTGTGTATATATGTATGCATGTATGTATGTGGGCATGCCATTGTGCATGTGTAGAGGTAAAGGACAACTTGTTTAAGTCGGTTCTCTCGTATGGGTCCTGGGGATTGAACTTAAGTCATCAGCCTTGGCTATAAGCACCTAACCACTGAGCCATCTTGTAAGCCCTTTTTTAAAAAAAATATTTTATTATTTTTATTTTGTATGTATGAGTGTATTGCCTGTTTGTAGGTAAGTGCACCCGTGTCATGCAGTGCCTGCAGAGGACCGAAGGGGCTGTCGAATCCCCTGGAACTGGAGTTACAGACACTTGTTAGGGCAGCCCTTTTAAACCAATCTTTATCATTATTCTTTTTGAGACAGGGTCTCCCTGCAGCCCCTGTTGGCCTGGAACTTACTATGTAGACCAGGGGTGGCCTCGATCTTGCAGAGATACTCCTGCCTCTGCCTCCCAAGTGCTAGGAAGAAAGGCATGTGCCACCATACCTGGCATTTTAAAACCTATTTTGATGTCATATTTTAAGGCCTGCTGCCTTAGAAGTCACTTGACACAGTGACTTTTAGGGCCATTTTCCGTTGGGTTTGGAACCTCATCCTTTGTGGACTTGGCTTCACCTTGACTCACATATTTGTTAGAAAATGGCAAGAATTGTCTTCAAAAGAAACAGCAAGTTCTACTTGGTCAGAGGGGTGGTGGGATGGTTGGAGACAGGACTGGCCAGTATTGCTGTCTCCTAGGAATGTGCCCTGATTGCCGATGAGCCACTCTCCCAGTCACCAGCTGCTGGATCAGAGCCTCAGGAGAGTGGTTCTAAGAGTCTATAGGCGCAGGCAAGATCACTTAAGACTTGACTCAAGTCTGGGGTCAGCGATAGGACCCAGGCAGGAGCTACCCCTCTTTTGCTCCACTCCCTTATTGGAGTGTCACTGTGCTGATGTAGGAGGAAATAATACCTTTGCACACTTGGGTTAGGATCGTTCCCTCTGTTTCCTACTCAGTGCCAAATGTCTTGCCCAACCCAAAGCAAGAGGGCCCAGGCAGGAACCGTGTCGCTTGACACACTAGTAAAGGGAGTTGGTAAGCTCACTTGCAGGCCAAACCTGCCCCCCGCCTAGGCTCTGGTGGTGGTGTATTGTAAAAGGTCGTAAAGAAACGACAACACACAGGAGCATGCTCACAGCCTGAAATATTTACTAGCTGACCCTTTTCAGGGAAAGGGTCTTCACCTGTGCTCTAAATAAAAACTGTATATAGAAGCACACGTGGGCAGGAGGCTAGGCCCTCTCTGTGGTTGAATTGGAAGACCTCAGCCTTTGTTCTGTTCTGTATGGCTGGTAACCTTGGACAAATGACATGATGAAATATTTTGTATTTTTATTTGGTTGTTTTGATACAGCATCTCCTCATGTAGCTGAGACTGGCCTTGAACTCATGGCAATCCTCTTGCCTCAGCCTCCCAAGTGTTGGAATTACAAGTGTATTTGTCTTATCCTCTCGCTCTCGCTTTTGCTCTCACTCTCTCTCTGACTTGCTCTCGCTTGCTCGCTGTAATACTGTAGCTTAAACCAAGCACTCTACCATGGAACGATATAATTGTGAGGCAGGGTCTTTTTTGTAGCCCAGCAGGCCTTGAACTTTTTTTTTTTTTAATAAATAATTTATTGAGAATTTCATACATGCATATAAGGCGTTTTGATCAAATCCATGCCCACTCCCTCTGCTCCAACTCCTGCTATATCTCCCCATCACTTTTTTCTGATAACTTCATGTACTCCTTCCTTCCTTCTTTTCTTCCTTTCTTTCTTTCTTTCTTTCTTTCTTTCTTACTTTCCTCTCTCCCTCTTTGCCTTCCGCTTCTGCCTCCCAAGTGCTGGGATTAAAGGTGTGCACCACCCTGCCTGGCCTTTTTTATTTTTTTTTATGGGGCTTTTGGCTACTCTAACATTCGCCCTCTGAAGAGGTAACCCTAAAATCTTTTAAGGATTAGATACAAGCTCCCAAATGTTTTTGACATTTTTGACCTTTAGAATGGAGTAGGTTGCTAAGAGGCCCAAGGACATTGTGAGTTTTAGCCAAGAAACTGGCTACTTTTCTTTGTGGTCTTTTTACCCTAACTGCCTAGCCAATTCCTACCTCCTATTCTTAGCACACCATCCTCTGCAGAGCTTACCCAAATTGCCAATAGGGAATCAAGATGCAGACTGCTCTGGCTTCTTCCATGCTGAACAGGGACAAGGGTGAGGCAATTGGAGTATCCCTTCAGTGGGTCTATCTAAAAGACTCCCAAATTGCCTAACTCTTATCACTAGGGGGAAAAGAAAGTCCTTGACTGGTGAATAGGAGATGTGAAGGAAAAGTAAAGGCAAGAATAGATGTGAAGGAGAAGTAAAGGCAAGAGTAATTAGCATTACAAGTTCTAGACAGGGAACTAGAAAAAAATCAGAACAGGACAATTTTCAAATGTTCATATGAGAGTCCCTTGGAATTTCTTGACAAGGGCTTCCGAAAGCATCCCTCTGTTGGGTTCTTCCTCATTTTTCTTTTGTCTTCCAAAGGCCTTGAACTTTCAGTAGACCTGCAGCAGCCTCCTGAGTACTGGGATTACGGTGTGTGCCACAGGCCTTGCTAAATTACATAATTTTCCCTTCTCACTCCTTCTTTCTCCTCCCCTTTCCTTATGAAGCAGGTGTGATTTGGATACTTGTTGACATTCCTTATGTATTGAGTTAGTGTATAGTAGTGATTTTATAAACTTAAGAGGATCAGAAGTTGAAGATCATTCCCCAGTTACATAGCAAGTTCCAGGCCATCCTGGGATACATGAGACTCTGTCTTAAAGTAACAAAAGAAACAAAATCCCTGTAAAAACAATCCAGGGGTTGGAGAGGTGGCTCAACAATTAAGAGCATTGATTGCTCTTGCAGAGGCCCCACAGGTTTGGTTCCCAGAACCCACATGATGGCTAACAACCATCTGTAACTCCAATTTCAGGGGTATCTACCACCCTTTTCTGGCTTCTGTGGGCATTGCACAATATGCTGTGCACATACATACACACATATTTAAAAATTGATTTTAAAAAGAAATAAAGTAATTAAAAAAACCCTAGAAAACAATCCACAGTGCCTCTAACCAAAACAAAACAAAGCAAGAGACTGTGGTGGTAGGGGATGGTGACAGGGGAGAACTACTGGACACAGCATGGCTGTAGTGTTTCCAGTTCCCCAGAGGCAAATGCTACAGCAGTTGAATGTTCTTGGACCACCTTAGCTCAACCAGCCTGGCTCCAAAGGCTGCACATGTTACTTTTGTATTTTGCAGATAGATGATAGTGTACCAGGTCATATGAGTCTGGTTAATACTTGAACAGCTCTTGAAAGGGACTTAGACATGACCTAGTTTGATTATGCCCTTTTACCTATGAGGGTCAAAGAACCAGTGAGGTGAAGCCAGCCTGTTGCGACTGCCCTCATTAAACAGCCAGAGCCTAACTGCGCTGCCCCCCATCTTCCCCTGCTTCAGCACTTTGTGTAGGCGTTCTCTCCCCTCCTCCCTATGGTCCTCCTTCAGTCTGGACTGCCTGCTTCCTTCAGCTTGCCCCTCAAGCCCCTCTTCCCTTTCCCTTTCCCTTCCCCTGCATTCCTTCCTTTCTCCTTTCTTTCTTCCCCTCCCTACCCCCTTTCCTCCCTCTTTCCTTTCCCTCCCACTTTCCTTCTCCCTCCCCTTTCTCCTTCTCTTCCTCCCTCTGCCTTTTGTTCCTTCCTAACCACCCTCCCTTCCTCCTTCCTTCTTTCCTTCTTTGTCTTGCTATGGAACTGGAACTTATGTAGACTAAGCTGGCCTTGGATTTGTGGCAGTCTTCCTGCTTCTGCCTCCCAAGGGCAGGGATTATAGGTGTGTACCCCATGCCTGGCTACGAGCCTCCCTCCTTTTAGAGTCCTTCTCCATGACCTTTCAGACCTGCTCAACAATTCTGAGCTGTCTTTATACTTTTCAGGGTGACGTGATTGATATCCGGGCCTCCCACCAGACTGTAAGCTCCATGAGTGTAGGATAAAATTACTGGCTCTTTGTCTCTGAAGTGAGCATGTGTACCCGACTTCAACAGACTCTTAGTGAGTGTTGGCTGAAGGAGCACACCAGAGGTCTGGGTCTAACTCCATGCTCCTGACTCCAACCTGTGGCTACTGTATTTGGCCCCATCTTGGTCTGGGTACTGGAGGCTTAGCAGAGATATGGTGAGTCCTGAGTCCTCAGGGTAGGCCGTGTCACACAGCTGCATTCTTTCACCATAGGCCGCTGGATGGAAACTCCTGCCTCTCCCAGGTGCATGGCTGGGCTCCACTGCAGGTGCTTCACGGAGATGCTGACGCTGACACTGATGTCCTCTTCCCTGTCAGTGGAGTGGGCTCCTACAGCGCAGCAGGTGGGTGTTTCCCCTTTTCTCCTCTCTCACAAGAGCTTTTCTACCAAGAACCAAACTGAGTTACCTCCACAGGTAGGAATGGGAGCCAGGAGGCCTGGGGCTCAGGGCAGGGATGGCCTGTGGACATTCAGAAGTAAGAGGTGACTTGGGTGTCTCCTAAAGAACTGAAGTAGTAGCTGGGTATGGTGGTGTATGCCTGTAGTCTCAGTAGTTAGGAGGCAGAGGCAGGCAGATCTCTGCGTTCAAGGCAAGCCTGTTCTACATAGTGAGTTCCAGGATAGCTGGGGCTATAGGGAGACCCTGTCTCAAAAAGACAAAAAGACAAAAACAAAAACCAAAAACCTGGAGTAGTTATAGGTGCTTTCAGAGAGTGACTCTGGGAGAACTGGTTGGCAAGACCCTAGGCGCTGTCATGCCTGCCCCTCCCACCCCCAGCAGTTTGTTACTAAATTTGGTCTTGCCAAAGTTGTTGGTGAGGCTGGGTGTGGTGGTGAACAATTTTAATACCAGCACTTGGGAGGCAGAGATAGGCAGATCTCTGTGGTTCTAGGCTAACCTGGTCTACATACATAGTTGAGTTCCAGGCCAGCCAGGGCACATAATGAGACTGTGTTTCTAAAAAAAAGTTGACCACAAATACTGGCCATGATTTTGCACTTTAGGAGATGGGAGGAGAAGGCATCTGTACTCCTCCCTCCACTGGTGTGCATGTGTTACCCCCTATTTGGTGATGGGCTTCAGTGATACACAGCTCATTTCTCAGGGCGCTCTTTCATTTATTTGGAGTCTTGGTTGTCTGCCCTTTATTCCCCTATCAGGTACAGTTCTTTAGCTCCTCTGCCCTTACTCTCAGTCTTTGGAGTTGGTTGAGTTGAGGTGGGACTACTGTTCCATAGCCCTGAGGACTTATGATATGATTGACCTCAGAGCCCATGGGAAGGCAGCGTTCCTCTTAACTGTCAAGACACGACGGTGGCTGCAGGGTGCCTGCATTGTGTGGTCCAGTTCGCTTGCATGGGTCACGTGCCATTTGTGGTTCATGGTGTTCTTTGTACAGTGCCCAGCTGTCTTGCTGTATGTGTGGTGCTAGACTGGGGGTGGGGTGGGGATCACACCTGAAGTTTTGTGTGTGGGTGGAACAGAGGATGCCTTTATTTCTGGCAATACTGGGGATTGACCTGGGGCTTTGAACATACTAGGAAGTGCCCTACTGTTGAGACCTTTTAATAGTTTTTTCTTATGATTTTATTTATTATTTTTATTTTATGTGTATGTGTGTATTGCCTGCATGTAGGTAAGTGCACCGTGTCATGCAATGCCCGCGGAAGTCAGAAGAGGCTGTTGGATCCCCTGGGACTGGAGTTACAGACAGCTGTTAGCTGCCATGTGGGTGCTGGGATTCAAACCTGGGTCTTCTGCAAGAACAGCCAGTGTTCTTAACTGCTGAGCCATCTCTCCAAGCCCCTTATTTATTATTTTTCAGACAGGGTCTCACTGTGAAGCTCTGGCTGGCCTGGAACTCATTATGTAGATGAGGCTGTCCTTATAGCAAGTCCTTCTGCTTCTGCCTCTTGAGCATAGGGATAGCAGCACTCAGCTTTCTTGAGAACGTTCTGCTGCCCCCTCCTCAGGCAGGTCAGGCTTTGCGTCCTCCACCGTGTAACCCTTACAGAGCTGACTCTTGTTGCTCTGACACTCAGTGTGCAGAGACAAATCTGTGTAGTTACTTGACAATACCTTCCCCTCTTTCTAGTCTATGAGTTTCAAAATATCAAGACCATGTCTGTCTTCTAGTGTTACCCAGACCTTGATATTGGCCAGTGCTGAGCCCAAGGGACAGTAAACCCTTGCTGAGTGGGTGAGCCATGGGTGGTTGCATGGGGTGGAAAGATGCTATAGGGAGAGGATGTATGCTGTTGGGAAAATGAAACCCACACAGAGGACAGAGGGTGGATAGAGGTGCAGAGGAAGAAGCACCAGGAGGGCAGAGGGAAGCACGTGACTCTGATCAGCTGAATGAGCCTGGGAGCAAAAGGGAGAAGGGCTCAGCTCAGTGCTGGACAGACCTGCATTCAGATCCTTGCCCTTGTGAGCTTTGTCAACCTAGCGAGTCACTAAAATCCTTTAGGTCTATTTCATCATCTGTAAAATCAAAGTAGTAGAGGCTGAGGGTGTAGCTCAGTGGTAGAGCACTTACCCAGTATCCATGAGGCTCTGGGTTATATCCCCACCACACACATAGCAGATGGTAGTGGTTCTTAGAGAAGCCTGGAACATGAGTGGCATAGCCCGTGCTGTGTGCCAGGGTGTCCAGCCCATGGCAGTGTCAGCTATATGTATGAAGGGGCTGAAGGTCAGTCAGCTGGGCCGAGGCAGCACCAAGTTTGGAATGTGGAGTGGGTGATAATGGCCTTTATTCCAGCCACAGGTTTCATTTTATTGTATGTGGTGTTGGAGTCTTGGCTCTGCATCATGGTGTGGACTCTGTCAGCCATGATTGAATTTCAGTAGCAAGGATGACTAAACTGAGGTGTGACCTGCTGCAGAAGGGCCTTAGAAGGGATTGAGCTTTCTAACTATGGTGCAGTAGAAATGTCATGTGAGCAGTGGGGGATAATTTAGGTGGTATTGGATATTGTATATGTCAGCTTTCTGTTACTATAAGAACCTACCTGAGATAATCAATTTATGGGGAGGAAAGGTTTATTATGACTCACAGTCTCAGAGATTTCAGTTCATGGTCATTTGGCTACATTGTCTTGGGCCCATGGTGAGACAGAGCATCATGGTTGGGAATACAGGGTGGAGGAAGCTGCTTCCTTCATGATGGCCAGGAAAGCGGAGTGATAGGAAGTCTGGGTTCTGATATCCACTTCAGTCATAGCACATCTCTCTAGTGAGCCAGCTTCCTCTCAGTATGTTCTACCTTTTAAATTTTTTTTGATTTATTTTTATTTATTTTATGTGTATGGGTATTATGCCTACATATATATGAGTGCACCTGTGTTGTACAGTGCCTGTAGAGGACAGAAGAGGACATTGGATGCCCTGGAACTGGAGTTATAGATGGTTGTTAGCCACCATGTGGGTGCTGGGATTCAAACCCAGGTCTTCTG